AAAAAAAAACAAAAATAAAACGAAACTGCAATGATGATAATGATCTGGCAAAAAGAACGGACAGAGGCACAAAAAAAAAGCCAGACAAGCGGCCCAAAACAGAGAGCAAGCATATAGCCAAAGATCGGCAATCAAGTGGCCACTTCCACCCGTCGTCCAAACCAAGCAATCCATCCGCCGCCTGCGTCTTCTGCTGTGCGTGGAAAACGAAACCAAACTCGCAGAGTTGACGGGGCGAAAGCTCGAACACGAGAGCACCTGGCCTAAAAATAGCAACCGCTCATTAGAAATGGCTAAAAATAGATGGCGGCATTAAAGCGCGCTAACCTGTGGCACAGTGGAGTGTCGTTGGAGTGGCAACCGGAGTGAATGCAACAGCGAGGGGGAAGTAGTTATGACGTATACGCACCGTGGTGCAATCGTGTAATCTTCTGCTGGAAATCTGGTTATCGTGCGAATCACGAATCTTGCTACTGCACTAGTTACGAGCTGTAAGTTACTGGACTGAAGTGAGGGAATAAAAACTGGTATTCTTGGCACCTGGAGGGGTATAGGAATTCCAAATGGGGGGGGAGGTAGGAAACCCTACTGGTATATCATATCCCGCCATAATGGATTCTGTTGCAGTTCAAGAGGAATTTAACATCAGAGGAAGCTGATAAATGTTTTAGAAAATTTAAATTTTAATTAAACCTCTATAGTTTACAGTAATTAAAGCCTCACCTCAACTCAGTTTCAACAACAGTCTTTGCTTTATCCTTTTCCTTATTATGCAAACAATAGTATGGTTGTAATTCCTTTGACCACATTTTCCTTACATTCCATTTTATTTGCCTTTTTAAAGTGTGACCTAAAAGTTGGTGCAAATAATTTCATGGCTAAAAACTTTTTAGCCGCATCTAACGAGCTGCTGAAGAAGCAACAACAACAACAACACTGTTGGAATCCCCTCACAACTTTTAGCAAGCATAATTTCAAACAATTTAGTTAAGTTCCAGTGGCATTTCATGCTGTTTACATAAAGCAAATAAACGCAGTGGGGCGAGGGGTTTTGTGGAGTTTGTGGGGTAGAAGGACGGTGGGAAGGAGGTGGGAAAACCCCAGGATCAGGGACACGCGCAATATAAACGCTGGGGCAAGGTAAACGAAGTAAATTAAACAGCAGAAACAACAACAACAACACCAACAACAACAACAACAACGGAAAGTGCCCAACAGTGGGCGTCGCGGCTAAGAGTATGGAATGGGAACACCTTACCAGGCAGCATACACTTGGAGAAACCAAGAGTTACTCCATAAATAATAAAACTTTAGAATTAATAATAAATCCTCATAGGTTAATAAAAATATTCAATAAATTCTATATAAGCACATCACCAAACAAGGCAAAACAGACATAATATAGCCATTATCATAATCAAATGTTATGTAAAACATTCTTATCGGTCTTGTTTTTGTCTAGAGATAAGAATTTTGTTTTATCACTTCTCGTTTCATCAAGTCCAGTGAACTTGGTTGAGTATTAAACTCTAAATAACTATCCAGGATATTTCTCGTCCTCTGGCATACAGGATATCTATTTATTTTCTTTCAGTGCACGGCAAGGAGAAGCAGGAAAGCAACAACAAGCCAGGCGCAATAACGAATAACAAGCCAAAGGCATGCGAAACAGCAAAAAGCAGGAGAAACCCAATAACATAAAAGCAAAAGAATTTTTTGTTGCCAAAGGATGATGGTAAACCTGCAGAGCGGGTAAAGGGGGGCCCGGTGGGTGGGAGTTGGTGCGGTTGGTGGACAAGTAGAAAAACCCGCTTACAACAGCGAAAAAAAAAAACTAAAACGCCAAGCCAACCAACGACCTTGATAAGTTTCACGGAGAGAGCAGGAGAGCAAGAGAGGACCCAGCAAAGGAGCTGGCTCTCTCTCTCTGGCGGCGGAAAAAAAGGGCAGCTTGCTGTTTGTTGTTGCCGCAAAGGCCACCACAATCGATGCCCCAGTGGTGAGTTCCGCTCTCTGTGCTCTCTCTCTCACATCAACAAGTGGCCCAGCTGTGAGTGGGCTGGACGATGGGGTGGCGGGGAGGTGGGGAGCTGGCCGTTCCTAACTCAATTCGCTTTTTTGTGTCGGTGTGTCAGAAAGCTTGCTCTCTCGCGCACTCTCTTTGATAAACAGTCAGTGGTGAGTTTGTTTTCCTCTTTTTCAGCTTGATTATCATATTCTGCGTTTTATTATTGAATTTCTCGGAGGAATGCGTATGTGTGTATGTGTGTGACGCATGTGTAAAGTGCGGCGCAGAAATTGATAGAACAATCAAATTCCGCACCACCCGCCACCCCTTTTCCCTGACTCCCACATAGAAAATTCCGCCAGTTAGTCTGTCAAATATGTTTGTTTGCCTTTGGCTCTCTTTTGTCTCTCTCTCTTTTGCCCTCTCCATTCGCAGTCAGCTGCTGCCAAATCAGCTGTCCGATTTAAAGCAAATTCATTTAATATTATTTAACAATCTAATACAAACAAAACGGGGAATAGAAAGCGGAAGAGAAGCGGGGAGGGGCAGAGGATAGAAAACATGTGCATGGAAAATTTTAGATCGCGTCTTTGGTAACAGCGAAAAAAAAAGTGGATACACCACATGGCTAAAAATTAAATGCAGAGCAACAAAGACAACAATTGCAACAACAACAACAACAACAGCAACAAGAAAACGGCAACCATTGTTGTTACCTGCAACGTGCCTGAAATTTCAAAAATGCAATATCAAATCAACGCGGAACCCGAAAGGTAAGGCTACTATTTTGAGTAGACGCCACTTCGGATACCCTGTAAGGCGCACATGATTTAATTATGCAAGAAATTAATAAAAATAAATAACTATGATGTTTTTCAAATATTTTATCTACTCAGATATGTAGCTTTCTTTTTAATTTTTTAGAATTTGGATTTGATTTTATGAATTGCAAGTATATACAAACTTCGGCAAAGTTAGATTCTTTCTTGTATAAGTTATAAGATCTACAAAATGAGCCTCGCCTATCCTTGAGCTTTTGATGCTAGAGCCATCATACCCACTGCGAGGGTATTTCCAAGCGCCGTGCTGCACTTGCAACTGCCAAACGAAACCGGACTCAACTGGACGCACGCCCCTTGCGCATACACACTACAAAAACACACCCAGTGGGCAACAACAACACACACAACACACACACACACACACACACTAGACAACGGACGCCTAGTTGAGCATTTTGAACGACAACACAACGGCAGCGGACAAGCCATAATTAATCAAGCCTGGCCGGCAATATTTTACAAAAAAGCGAAACGAAAATTCCTCAAGCTGCCGCAGATCCTTAACGTACAGCAACTGCCAACGAGCAAAGTGTGTGTGGGGAAAAGCGCTCACAATCTGCACAAAATTCCTTAATATTTTGTTGCCATTTTGCCAATTTGTTTTTATCATTAAAATTATCATTGGTTTTCGAGTGACACGTGCATTTCCCAGGCACTTTTGCTACGTTCCATTCGGCTGACTCAATCGCGCACACTTCCTAATCACAAACGAAATTCAAATAAATAAATAAATGGCTTAAAACTTGTTTCCTTCCATCGCAACATTAATTCGCATATTTTTACAAATTATATTAAAGCTCATACACATGTGTAAGTAAATATATAGAGACACCGATGGAGTATTAGAAGTCGACGACAGCAACAACAATAAAGCTAATTCTCAATTTTTCGTGTACTTTGAAAACTTGTTTTATTTATTGACTTTTTGTTTGTTCTCCTCCCGTTGCTTGTAAGCTTATTGAACAATTATATTATGGCATAAGAAGTGACAATAGCTCAGGTGAGCTATATGTATGAATGTTTGTTTGCATGCGCCAACTGGGGAAAAGGGCATTCTTCTGTTTAATTCGAGAATTCGATTTCGAGACTTTATAATAACGCCCAACAATTGAAATGCCAATCAAAAGAAACTCCAGGCAACTTAATGGAACTTTCCATCAACATCTCTCAATAATAATTAAAGATGATAAGCAATACTTTGTCTTGATATCTTCTTTAGTCAAAAAAAAAAAACCCAAAAACCATCATAAACTTCTTGGATTATCTCAATATACGATAAATATATGTATATAGTACATCTAGAGGATAATATCATGATAAAGCTTCTTCTAGCTCTAAATAATAGTAATTAAATCCTTATAATTTTAGAAAGTTTGAAAAATCGTTATAAATATAGAGATATTACTACATCAAGTTCCTAGACACAAAATTTACTTTCAAAAATTCCAAAAAATCCGCTTTAATTGATTAAGATTCTGTGTACTATAAACCAAACATGATATCTTACTAAAAGATCTTGTTAAATTCGTGACTGGCGAAATTTACAATGATGGGACAAAGATTTTCCACACACAGTGGAAACTTTGTATGTTTTAAACATTTAGCATGCAAATAAAACAATTACAATAATTAAACGAAAGAAAATCCCAGTTACCCGAGCAGTTATTTTGTAACAGCATTTCGTTGGGGTTTTCTCGCACACACACACACACACACACACACACACAGCGAGTGCATTGCCAGTGTCTGAGGTAATAATTGCTAATAGTGTTACTTAAGTTCCTCTTTTTTGCAGTGTAAGTGGGGGAGGCAATGCCCGCCTCATGATTCTTTTGACTCTCTTCGTCTGCCCGTCAATTGTCGTCTCATCAAGAGCAAAGACTAAGAGGGAGCGGGAAAAGAGAGGCTGTCACTTAAATATGCTGCATTTGGGGATAAAACGATCTCATATGCAAAACAAAACTATTAAGTTGGAATTTCGAGTTTGAAACTGAACCGAAAGAGAGTTTTGGGCGGGGAAAGGAGAGTTTTCCTCTACCTCTTTCCTGTGAGCAACCAAACCAAAAACAATGCAATCAAGGTTGGGACCCTTTGTTGCAAGAAGTGCAAGCGAAGAAGAGTAGAAAAACATAAAGCTTAATTCAACTTACCGTCCCACAAGTTCAAGGCCAAGTGTCCGAGTGGCTCTCTGGTCCGCTGTCTCTCTCTCTCACTTTGCAGCAGTCTCTCTCTGCTCTCTCAGAGTATTTACGTGTGGTGGTTGTTGTTGTTTTTGTTTGTTACATGTAAAAGAACTTTCGTTTTCTGGCTGCAGGCTGCAGTTCACGCAGGCGGAGGGGGGGACTGGTGCTTTTTAGGTGGGCGAATTGCCCCACATGCCACTACCGTTCCTTGCTTGTTGTTGCTGTTGTGTTTTTCGTTTGCCTTTTCGCACTTCTGTTTTGTAAATTAATTAACAACACTCGCACTCACTCGGCACACACTAGCACGCAGACACAGGCACATGTTCATCATTCGAGCCCGCGCTTTGAGATAAGCAAAGCTATTTATTTGCACTAAACTTTACTTTTGCGCGCTGAGCCAACGTGGGGCCAAACGAGGGGCGGGGGGAAAGAGTGACAGAAAGAGAGAGGGGCCAGTGGGAGAGGAGAACTCACCACACACACAAAACACACACGCTAGCTCAACCGACGTAAGAGCGCACGTTTTACGACAGTTTGGGGATAATGTCAGCGATCTTGGCGATATTCAATTACTTCCCGATTACCGAAATCAATGCAATCAATATCAATTGATCGTTTTATCTGGCGGTGACCGAATGGTAAATAAAAGCTTCTGAAGTCAGAGTGACCAGAAACAAAATATAAAAGAATACCACAAAATAATATTGAAATTTTGGTATTTTGATATATTTTCTGTTCTGTTAAAGTACAGCCAACGAGAGAGAATTCTGTTATTGAGCGCGGATACGTTAATGAATTTTACTTCCTACGTGGGAATTCTGCTTCTACATGAGCATTTATCTGTAAACGTGTAAGATGGTTATCTAGACGTGTAAGATGTAAAATGTTGAAAAACAATTTCATTTTGCTTAGTTCAAGCTACATCTGGCATATTTGAAAATGGAAAACCTTATATGTCTGGCAAGACTCGACATTTTGGAGACTTGCCGTTGCCAGACTTTCTAGTCTCGAGCCACACTCGTGATAGTATCGATTAGAAATACATATATCGTGGACTTCCTACCTCTGTAATACGAGGGACAATCGAATATTTGGAATATTTTGCCGCTAATGCAATGGTCACACTGCCAAGAAAACCAAAACAAAACCTTTTTTTAAATAAATTTACTTAAATAGCAGGTTTCAGAGCAATGGCAGATTAGCTTTTAGAGCATCAAACTCCTTCTTGTCCAGTGCCTTTAAATGAGTGCCTGAGTAGGGCGATTTGAACTCCAAATCGCGATGCTTGTTGACCAAAACTTTTTGCTCCGAGTACATAAGGTTTATTTGCTGCTCAATTTGCTCTTGATCTGCGGAAAATAGTTGGTGATACTCTGACATAGCATGAGAACAATTTTCCCACCTTTTTTGAGGAGTTCCAAGGCCTTTTCCCGCTGCACCTTGACCAGCATGCTCCCAATGGTGATCCAACATTTCTTGTCCTCCGATTTATTTATCAGCCGCATCGCCTGACGCGTATCCTGGCGCCGTTTGTCCATCGCCTGCAGCTCCTGCTTGTTGGACAGAATCTTGTCGGCCAGCTCCTCAGTCTCCGTAATCAGCTCGATGCTTTTGTCCAGGTCTGATTTCGACATTTTCGCAACAGTTAATTTAAATGCGGAAGTAAACAAAAGTGCAAGAGCGACTCAAAAATGTACTAACGCCTCAGAACATCTGTTTAAGCGAGGAGCGTAGTGTGTCTGGAATAAAAGGGACTTATGTTTTTTCAAAGTAATTGATTTTAAAGACGGCTGAGAAAATAAAGTTTTCCATAAATAGAATATTAAAGACATATTTTAAACCGCTAGCTGTTAGATTTAGCACGCTATTTAATGCAACTTTGATAGAAAATACACTTTTACGGCCACACTGAAAGGACCCCCGAAAATTCCGTCTACCTACGCCCTTGCGCACATCTCATTCAACAGTCAATAGCAAAGATGGCCGCGTCATAAACCATTCGTAGTAATTCCGAGTCGAGACATTTGTTTACGAGCACAGACCCTGATCTCTGCATTAGTCTAGCAGCTGCTATTCCCGGATATACATACATACATATATTCCACAGCGATGCATTTCAACGACAGCGCCAAATGCCTGGGCAGCCGCAGCCCCCTGGCCATCTGTTGCCTGCTCCTGCTCCTCGGCGTCGTCTTGCAGCCAGCAGCGTCTCAGGTGAGTCGGCGAATCGGCCATTGATTTGGATGCGCACGCGAGGAGTGTCAATTGCTGGCGTCACGAGACTGGAATCGGGAAACATATGTTTGCTCTGTGCGCCTACAGATGTTTTGCATATTGATTTTACTGCAATGCGTGTGTGTGTGCGTCGGAGCGAGTGCTCCGTGGCATTTTTTTCTGTTTTGCTAACCTGGCTAATCTGTTCACTCCGGAATTCACGCATTTTAGACTCAAAGTTCGCAGCGTTATCTGCAGAATGTGGACATCAACAATGGCAATAATGAGCGATTGCAGCAGATTCTCAAGGGTTCGGGAGCAGGAGCGACACCCGCACAGTTTTGGCCACAGCCGCCCCAAAAGGCGATACCCGATGTCAAGACTGAGTTGTCCAAACTGAATAGTAGTAAGTTGTTATTGTGACTATAAATGTAAATACCATTTAACACTCTCCTTACATCCATTCCCAGCTTATACATACCAGTATGGCTGGCCGGCAACAATGTGAAGCTGGGAGCCGTTACGGCCGTGAGTTTCGATAAGGCCGGCAACGTGGTGATCTTTCATCGCGTGAACCGCGTCTGGGGGCAGGAGACCTTCGACAACAGGAACCTCTACCAGGAGCAGTACCTTGGACCCATCAGGGAAAGCACTATCCTGGCGCTGGAGCCAGCGACAGGAGCAGTGAAATACGATTGGGGCAAGAACTTGTAAGTAGCTCTTAATACAAAACTTATATATAATTCTGGGTGTAAACGCAATATTCCCCCCCAGCTTCTACATGCCGCACGGCCTAACCGTGGATCCCGAAGACAACGTCTGGGTGACGGATGTTGCCATGCATCAAGTCTTCAAGTTTCCACCCCGCGGTGGAGATGGAAAACCGGTGCTCACGCTTGGAACGGCTTTCAAACCTGGTTCCGGCAAGAAGTTCTGCAAGCCCACGTCAGTGGCGGTGTTAGACAATGGCGACTTCTTTGTGGCAGACGGATACTGCAACGCTCGCATCCTCAAGTATACGCGTGCTGGTGAACTGATTCTCTTTTGGGGTCAGAACTCCTTCTCTGGTGTCTCGTATGATGTGGCGCCGCAGAATTACTTTGCTATTCCCCACGCCCTGACCCTTGTGCCAGAGCTGGAGCTTCTGTGTGCCGCGGACCGAGAGAATGGGCGGGTGCAGTGCTTCTTCTCCAGGAACGGCACCTTTCATTCGCAGTACCACAGCCACTGATAGGCGATCGCCTGTTCAGCATGGCCTACACCCCGGCATCGGGTGAGTGGATTAATCTTCTGCTGATATCGGTGTTTCTGAGGTGTTACGAGAATCTCTCATGAATTCTCGTGCTTTTCAAAAGTTCATATGCAGTTTTAATATCCCTGAATATATCCCTTTTCCGCCACAGGTGGCCAGCTGGTCATAGTAAACGGACCCACCGCCGAGCTGGGTATCCACCCAGAGCACTATAATGAGGTGCACGGTTTCGTGCTGAGCATGCGCAGCAAGCAGGTGGTATCCAAGTTTGGGCCCAACAACCTGGAGTTCCATAATCCGCACGACGTGGCCGTCACCGCTGACGGCAATGAGATCTACGTGGCCGAGCTGTCTCCCATGCGCATTCATAAATTTGTGCATAGATCGCAGACCAAGCCGATGTCTCTGTCGGCAACCAAGGACACTAGCAACATCGGAACCAATAAGGTTGTGGGCGCGGAGGATGCGGCGCCGGCACAGACGGTACACCATCCCAGCGGTAAGGCCATTCTGGTCGCCTCACTCATGCTGCTATTCGCTGGCTCCACCTTCGCTCTGGCTCTCATCTTCGCTCGTCGGCGGAAACGAGGTAACCAAGCGATAAGCGCTTCTCCACCCAGCGACCTGGTCTACCGCAAACTGACCGCTTCCAACCAGAGTCTGTGCTAATCCTCAGTGCTAACCCAATCAAACAATCATCACTCAATGTCCTGTGTTGTGCTGTCGTACTCATGTATCCTATAGCTATATATATTTTGTAGTGGTTTAGTTTATCTTTTAAGTTTACTTGGAATCTCTTTACATTCCCGCTTCCATCCACAAAATTGTACTTATTTCTTATTGTTTTCATTCTATTTTCGTGAAATTAGTTTTGTGTTGCATTTGGTGTACATTTACGATTCTTTTATATAAAATACATGAACATACACAATTTACGTTAATCTTTAAGTACTCTGTTTTCGTTTTCGGTTTGTTCCAGTGCACGCCAGATCGCAGATCTTTGCATGAATTACCGGGGGATCTGTCTAATGTTCTCTGTTCCCGTGAATGTTTCATGGCGATAGATATTGTTAACCTCCTCCCAACATTTCCCACAGGTTGCCTGCCATTTGGATCTCGGAGTCGTCGGCATGCGTGGGAAAAGAGCGATGGCTTTAAGCTTGGCGGCCTGCTTGATCGGGATCGAAACGGATTTGAGAAACTGGACCAGCAGGCCAGCGACGAGGAGCAGGACACGACGACGACGCTGGCGAGCGCCCAATATGCCTAGGGCCCCCAAAACTGGGCCAGGACCAAGACTTATGCAAGCTAACAAAGCATTCCTAGTTCTAACTACCTGTACCTCATTGAACACTACCGATTTGGTTGTACTTTTGTGCTATATGTATAACTTTTAATTTGTCTTTCATTGTTTCTGTTCAACACAATATTGGGCCCATTCCGCAGAAGATTTTTAGTTACTTCTATGATTTAGGCAGCAAGAGTTTAAATTATTATTATATTAGAAGACCACATGTACATCTTCCTTAGCGAAAGGGCACATTAAGCTAGCCTTTAAAAATTAGTTAAAATAGTACCAACGTATACATGGGTACCAGGGACAGCCAGTTTATGGAAGTATTTTTCGTATCTCTCCTAGTTCTGCGGAATGCGTTCCATATCTTGGTTCGAAAAAACGCTTAATTTGCCAAATTTTAAATACATACATAGTCTTATGAAATGTCATCGTTTGGTATTTATTCAATGTCTGCAGCTAAAACTAAACTAGAATTCGTTATATAAATATGTGTGTATTTAGCGTATTGCATACTGTCAGTAACGACTAATAAGGCCCCATGGTGGCGAATATCTCTGTCCCTTCAGTCCCCGCCGGCGGTTATCCGCACAGATCCCAGAATACCGCAAGTTTATATTCTGGCTGGCGGTCAGACAACCTGGGCGAGGAATCCGTCGTTCTCTTCCGTCACAATAGCATCGATGTTGTAGAAGATGGAGTGCAAGGCAACCACGAAGCAGGAGGCGCCCAGCGTCCAAAATAGAGCGGCCCCGGCGCCCACCATAAACAGAATGGGCGCAGCGGCCAGATTAAGGACTATTATCTGCTGGTTGGGCGTTAGTTGGTAGCCGCCTATGGAAAGTGTGGCGTTGCGCGTGCGCAACTTATGGCAGCCCAAAGCGGCGGCCCCCATGACCAACAGAATGAGAGGCGCAGTGATGCTGGTGGGGATTACAGGGCATTAACTAACTGTTGCAACTTCGGGAATGGAAACACTTACAGACAGTAGATCATCAAAACGAAAAAGATGAAGACATAGTTGGCCTGAAAGTAGGAGAGGTTGCGCACGACGCGGTTGTTTAGTCTCTGCATGCTGACGGCGGACTTAAAGTTGTTGATGTTAAAGAAGACCATCCATGGACGCAGTGAGTTGCGCACCATCTGGATCATTTGCAACGGCGAGGGCAGATTGCCCATGCTGCATGAGAAGATATAAAACGTCGGATCAGTTGGCCTTCCTGCTGAAAGATGTATCCATTACTCACCCCTGCATGTCTAACGAGAACCTGGGTGAGCCCGACTGCTGAGGCGGCTGCATGTTGCCGGCCACATTTTCACCGGGCTGATCCATTTTAACTTGCGCTATTAGTTCGTTCGCTTCTCAGTGACACGTCGTCGTTCCAATCTGCGTATCTTCTTTTACCATCACTCGCTGCCGGCGTCCTACAAGCTGCCTTTGTATCTTCACATTCGTTCCACTGCTCTCGAGATGGGTTTGGCGGCGGATCGGATGCTGTGGCGGAAGGGTTAGCAGCGGACGTCCTCTACACGAAGACTGGGGCAGCAAAACACAGCTGCTTTCGATAGTGCTTATCAGAATTCACTCTTAATTTGCTTTGACATTGTTTATTTACCAAACAAAATAAAAGTTTCGAAAAAACTGATGTGGCAGATGGTTCTAGGATGCCCAGATGAGATTAGTGTGGCCATTCGTGCGCTACTGGCATTGCACTAAAATGACAAAAAATCTGGTGTATTTTTCTCTTTTTGAAATGCAAGTGTTATTCCGTTGACAGTTATTAAAACTTCTCATTCTTTCATTTTCATTTGTACTTCACAGCGGCAAATCTAAAAATGTAAGTAAATTTTTGTTTCTTTTTTTTTTTTTTTTTGTGTTGCAGAAAAAAAGACAATCTTTTAAAGTAATTGCTTTTTAACAAACTGCATTGATTGTTTAATCAAAATATAGACGTAAAGAAGACCAGGCTCACAGCTGCAGCTGCGGCAGGGCGTGTTCCGGCAGTACTTGCTGTGGACACGCCCAGCATCCCGCCTACGTCGTGCACAGTCTTGATCGCTGTTGTGCAGGTTGCGTCGTGCGAAGAGCTCGACCTGCAGCAGCGATTCATGGACAAAGCGTGCTTCAACGAGATCCAAACACATTCGACGTTTGCAGCGGAACAGCTAAAACATGGACATGCACAGTCTTGCACAGTCTTGTTCCCTGTTGTCAGGTTGCGTCGTGCGAAGAGCTCGACCTACAGCAGGGAATCATGGACATGTAACATCATGGAACAGCTTAAACTATGACCACCAAGTCGTCGCGCAGAACGCAGTTGGGCAGACCAGAATGCTATCAACCCCGGCATCCGCAGCGGCAAAAATGAATCGAATAACTGTTTAACCCGTTCGATTAGGTTGCCATCGTCACGCAACACAATCACCGGTATATGCAGCACGGGACCAGATCGTTGGACGTCATACAGCCGTTGAAGTTTTTGCAGAGCAAGGTGCCATCAAGACGTTACTCCACCACCTGAACCCTGGACTCCACAGACTAATTACCAAAATAAAAAGAAACACAAACATTTTGGAACGAACGAAATTTTCAACTGTGCTCAAAATAAAAACCAAAACGAATTAAGCAACGCTCCAGAAAAAATTATTTCCAGCATAATTGGGTTCTGATTTTGGTGATTTCAGTCATTATTAAATCTGATGTATTTGTCCGAGAAAACGCCTTTTCAAAAAAAAATTATCGATAGAGATGGGCATATTCCGATTTTGGTGTCCGAATTTAGGATAACACTACCTCGAAAATAAGGATTATAGCCTTAATTAAGGATGATTTAGAAAAACCAACATTAGCCAAATCATCTCAAAGCAGTTGAAATAAATTAACAATTGTTTTCTACATTTTCATAGGCAAAATATTAAGTTTAGGTTGAAATTAATATGAAAAGCTTGTCACCTGAATTCGATTGCTTTCTCCCAACGCTCGCTTCAGCGTGCTATCACTTTTCTCCGCCACCCACGGTCTGGTCACACTACAGGTATTGGTGGAAATCTGCTCGATGTAGAGTTTTTATTTTGGAAAATTCCCGAAACCTGAGGCTGGAACGAAGTCGTACCTAGCACAAAGCAGATCCGAAGCACAAACCCACAAATTGCAACCAATTCCGAGACATGGCCGACGACTGGGGTGAGTGTTCTCTGGGCGGTGGCAGGGCGGGCGCTGCGTCATCTGCAGCGGACAATAAACGTGGTCGCCGTCGTTGTTGTTGCTGCTGATGTCGTTGGAGCGCCGTGCAACCAACCTTGATGCGTATTTTTAGCCGTATTCGCGGCAGCTAACCGTATTTCGAAACCCTAACAATCTTGTGTTTTTCCCGTGATGTGGCAGAATCCGCTGCGGACAGCGAAGTGGTCATCCGCCCAAATGCCGTTAACAGTGTTAACAAGTGGGAGGGAGAGGACGACGATGAGGATGTTAAGGTGCGCATACCAATGTCGAAGGCGAGACGAAAGCTAATGCTGACAGACGCAAACAAATGCAAGACAGCTACCAGCTCAAAAAACTTGTTTTGCGTGCGCTAGTTTTCACTTTCATTTCGCTGTACACGTGTTCACTTTTTGGGCTGAGACACTAATAATTCCTTTCTATTTCGCAACGCAGGAGAGCTGGGAGGATGAGGAGGAGAAGAAGGACGAGGAAAGCCCACGAAAACAGAACCGCCAGCCAAGCCCAAGCCGAGCAAAGCACTGAAAGCCAAGTTAGAGGAGCAGGCGGTAGGTGTAAACGTTTTGCTATCTATGCCGAAGATATAACTAACAAATATTCACCTCACAGCGTCTCGCGGAGGAGGCTGAGGAGAAACGGTTGGCCAATATGTCCGCCGAGGAAAAGCTGGCCGAGAAGCTGAGGCTGCAAAAGATTCAGGAGGATTCGGACTTCAAGCACGCCCTGGACGCCTTTGGCGTGACGAGTACAACGTCTGGCGGCCTTGACGCCTTCAATCCGGAGAGTAAAGAGGAGTTCAAAGAGTTTGGTGCCACACTCAGCTGGAAAGTCGGCCAGTATCGCGAATCGCCGCATTTCCCGCAATTCATCGAGATTTGGTGCGAGGCCTATGCGTGAATCGTGAGTGATCGATCTGCTTTGACCTTAGCTCATAATCTGATTTTGTGTTTTCCGCCTTATCTATCTAGTGAGCGCCGCTGACATCAAGAAGGTCAAGATGAGCGTGGAGGTCTTGCATTCGGAGAAGCTCAAGTTGGAAAAGGCGAACAAGAAGCCTGCAGCCAAGGGCAAGGGAAAGGCAACGCTCCGCACCGAGAACGACGTATGTATAAATCTTTAGATAAACGATACAAATTTCTAATTAAACATCTTGTTTGCAGGACATCGACGGCTACCAAAAATACGGCAATGACTTTACCGACGACTACGACGACTTCATGTGAATAGGATCTATATAGTAGCCCGCATATATCTAATTATTGAATACAAATAGTTGCTTGTTGAAGAGTTCTTCTTGTTAGAGATGCTGCGCAGGAATTTGAGTCCTTTGTTGAATTTAAAAATAGCAGAACCTATATAAATATGTATATATATTTATATGACCGAACACGAAATACACACACACAGAGTCAAGTCAGGCAATCAAGAAACCTCAATTTCGAACGATTTCGAAACACGCAACACCAAAACTGAAGGATATTTAGGTAACTGTAAAAAAGGAAACTATCAAATTATGGCAACACATGCATATGTCGTACTCGGAATGGCTTCTTGTGTAATAATTCACTTTTGTATAAAGAATTAAAAGTACAGAGCGATATTAAACGATAAGCAAAGATGTCTTTATTTCACGGGCTTCGGTGAATGGAATAAAAAAATAAGAAAATGGTAAAACAACGGGCATTGAGGTAATATTTGCAAAAAAGAAATGCCATTTTGTATTTGCGATTGCAAGTAAATATTAAAAAAACATATTTTGTCAACTTGTATACATATGATAATATTCTTTAAGTGCAGAAATGCGAAATGCGGCCCCTTTTAAAAAAAGGGGCTTAAGTGTGACCAACTAGTGTCCAGGGGAAAATGGCCTCCGACCAGTACCGCGTGGAAATCAACAACAAATGAGTGAATTCAACAAGTACTGCGAAGGTAAATATTTAAATTCAGGACAGATAAAGGCCACCTATAATACTTTTCCTTGCAGAAGCTGCAGACGTGGATCTGCCCAGCTCCGAGGATGAGGAAGACATCGGCGACGAGGACACCTGCAACGCTCAGCAGCTTGCCGCCGAATTTCAGCTGAAGTATAAGCCCCTGGACGAATCCGGACTCCTACATCGGGAATATGTGCTTAGCCTGGACGCCGACAAGGGCTTCTCGAGGATAGCGGTGGGACTGTCTAGCTCTGCGGTGCAAATCTTTAACTTGGACGCCAGTGGCAAATTGGCCAACTTTAGCTTCTTGCCGGCACCGATAAGAACGAGGTTAGCACATGCGGCGTAAAGTTCCTCGACGATGGACCGGACAACATACTGGTGGGCACCACCGATGGCTACGTGCGTCTCTACGATCTCCGTGTAAGGGCGAGCTGGCAAGGTTCCGCTACGGCAACAATCCGAAGATGTGCCGCCCGTGCCCAAGTCGTTCACAGCCTTTGATAGAAACGCCAACAGTAGGGTCATCTGCTGTGGCACGGCGCAGCACATGAGTAACGTGTTCCTGGTGTTCTTCGATGTCCGGGAGCGGCGACAGATGGGTGTTTACTGCGAGAGTCACGAAGACGACATCACTTCGGTGCAGTTTCATCCTCGGAATCCGGATCTCCTCAGCACGGGAGCATCGAGGGGCTCATCAATGTGTTTGACATTAAGCAGCCCGACGAGGACGAGGCTCTTTTGAACACCATCAACACGGAGAGCAGCGTGGCTCGCCTGAGATGGCATCGGGACGTCTACGACAAGGACATCATCTCTTGCATCACAACCACGAGCGATTTTAAGACCTACGAGTGCGAGGAGGGTGACGAAGTCATCTCCTTTGACCGTCCAGATGTTACAGCCGCCATAAGACGGAAGAATGCTGCCAACTTTAACCTCATTAATGCTCACAACCAAGAGGACGGCGATGTGTTCCTCTTGGCGGGCACGAACTTTAACAAGGGGTGAGTTTCTCAATATATCTTTCCTTGTAACTTCAACTAAGAATTATTTTCTTTCAGGGAAATCCTGCGATCTGTGAGCGTTAGTGCTAAGAAAAAGCTAAAGCCGTTGGCCAATTTCCAGGATAACAAACAGATAGTGAGAGACAGCCTGTTTGATTCCAGGCGAGGATTACTGGTGACGGGCGGCGAAAGTGGTATTGTCACCGTTTGGTCGCAGGAATTGGTCGGAAATGTCGCCAGCAGTAAAAAAGTCTAAAAAGGAAAAGAAGTCGCGCAAGAATGCGCCCTATTAAATGTTAAAATTTTTATAAACATTTTCTCAATAAGTACTGTCTTTATTGGTTCTTGTTGGTGCTCATGAAGTGGCTGGCAGTAGTAATGGTCCAGTTGATTTGATATTTTCAAAACGTGCGTAATAAACAAACCTTTGGTTTGGTGCTACCAGACCGTTTTTGGAAATTAGTTCTTTCCGAGCTGACTAAGGCTCGCTGATGCGAAATTAAACGTATAAGGCTCACGTTCTTTCGTAATATATTGCATACTTTTAAGTAAAACGTAAGATGCCCGTGTAGAATGTGTGTTAAATACGCCTACATTGATTTTACTTGGAAAAAAAATGTAAATTTAATATAAGAAATAAACGTTCAAAATATATATTTGAATTTAGAAATAATTATTAAGATATATTTAGTCAAAATAAAATTTTGCATAAACAGGAAAATATAAATTTAATTTAAAATATTTATTAAAAAACATTACCATAAAATTAATATATAAAATATTAAACAATATATTCTTACATATATATTTTTTTCTTTGCATTTTCTGTTACTTTAAATTCACTTTAGGAATACCTTACTTATTCCCATAAGTTCAGAGATTAGTATGAACTTGTTTACAAATTTGTTATCATCCCTTGTATTATACAATCAAGGATAACTTAATTATTTTTCCCATAATTCCCATGAGGGAATCCATTCACCTTTTCATTGCCAATCATGCTTCTATTTCACCCTCCAACCTGTGCACTGATGGCCCTCACCTCACGCTCTTCTCGCAGGCAGCGCAGCTTGGCTCTGCTGGGTAAAAAATTAGCACATCCTCAGAGCAGATAAACGCATCCTTAGAGCGGATACAGTGCCACCTCCACCTCCGCCTCCGCCTTCCTTACGTCCCAGTCATCCCTTTGCACAGAGAGGGCCCAATTAGTGCTGCAGTAGGCATTTCGAATCCGTGCCCACAAATCGGCTAATCCACAGTGGCACTGCCTGAGGGATTGGGATCGAAAATAGGGACGAAAGAGGCCCAAGATCCTGGCTAAATGTTGACAAATACAACACCTACGTTACAAATAAAATTGCTACAGAAGTACCACCTAAAAACGGGCACACAACCGGAACGACTTAATTTTCACAAATTTACAGAAACAGAAATGGAATGGAAACATGGCAGGATATCTCGACGCCGCCACTGAAGCTGTGGGTTTGCTCCCGCCGAGCGAAGGATCCTGATTCCTGATTCCTGATTCCCCGATTCCCAATCCCAATTTCCAGTCGGAGTAGCCAGCGTCCTGCAGCTCACTCGAAACCGCCACTCACCGTGGCTAATTGCCCATCAATAAAGGCCCAAGGAATTCCACCGAAACTATGTAGAATCGGAGAGTCCTCTGCTACATTCTGATGTTGCTCCAGGACGAGCAGCGGCTCTCAGGGAACTCTCAGTATCGGTTGCTACATGCCGAGCAACCAAAATATTATGGTGTGTCCCGCTGTTCGTGCACAGTCAGCGCGAATTTGCTGCGGTAAGTCGATGCTGTTTTCGGGACCTCTTCTTCTCTCCCTCCTCTCCTCCTACTCCTACTCCTTCGTGTCCTTTGGCGGCACCTTGGTCCTGTTCCTCTGTCGTCGTTGTTTTTCCTTGATTTGACATGTCTGTTAGCAGGATGCCTGACCCTGAGCCGGAGCCCATCTATGTGTGTTCCACTTTGATGTGATTCGTCAGTGCGGTGGACTACTGCTACTGTCCCCTGGAACCTTGGTCCTTGGTCCTTGGTGTTGCTGTCCCCTCTCGTGTGTCCCTTTGACCCTGCAATCTGCGGCTTTCCAGCAGCGTTTGTTGGCGAATCTGAGCCGGGGCCCCTGCTGCTCCTCCGCATCTCGGGATTCGTCACAGATGCACAGATTGGATTGCCTCGGAGACCGCAATGCGCTGTATTTATAGTAAACGTGTCCGATTGATTTGGCCATCTGTGGGGAGTCGTTGTCGTTGGTCACAGGTTCCCCAATTTGCATCTCCTAGAAGAAGATGGTTTGGTTTTACCTGGGCATATATCACTGGAATGGGTCATCAAAGGCGGTGTCATCTTATGTTGACAGCTCTCTTATTTCGCAACAAATAACGTGTGACCTTTGACTAACTGACATTACTCTTTAAGTTTTAACTTTAATTGGTTTTTTATAGGTAAAACTAGCGTGAGAGTCAAATTACTAAGTTTTCTCAAATTTAAACATATCACAATTAGGCCAAAAAGGCATTAATTTGAATTCGGAAAGCTTTGCTATGTTAGTTTTAATCAGCTTAATAAATCTGCATACTCAGTTTTAAATATTAGAAAATTCAAATTTTTGACATTTTTGTCAATTTTAACGATGTAACCCCTTATAAAATTTTGAAATTTTGAAAATTTTAAAAATTTATTTTGACCGGACATGTCTATATCGATTCGAATTTTGATTCTGATCAAAAATATATATGATTTATAGGATCGGAAATGGCTCCTTTATCAAGAATACCTAAAATATGTTATATAGGGTTTTTAGATAAATAGTTGTATGATTTTTTTATTGGGAAAAACACAATTTTCCAAATATCATAACTAAGTCAAAAAGGCATTAATTTTAATTTGGAAAGCATTCCTATGATAGTTTTTATCAGTTAATAAACAGCATATTAAATATTAGAAAATAATATTTTTTTCAATTTTTAACATTTTGTGGGTAACCCCTTAAAAAAAATTGAAAAAATTGACAAAATTAATTATTTTTTCTAAATGCCTAGAAACATTGGTCTGTGTGATTGAGTATATAATTTATAGGGTCGGAAATGACTCCTTCAGAGCATTACATGCTTCGGACTAAAATTAAAATCCCCTGCAAGGGTTTTAAAAAGTGTTTGCTTTATTAATTTTTTACTAGGGAATATTTCTATATTTAATATCGAATAAGATATATTTTTACCTTGTAGAGTTTATCATATTAATTGGTATTGATTAATTCAATGGCTATAAAAAATGATCTCTTATAGAGAGCTGAACCATCCAATTGATAATGGTTTTTCTCACTCCCATCAGCAAACGTTCATTGATATATTTTATTTACATAGTTCACCGGAACAATCGATGTGTAAAAATCCCAAATTCCGGCCAAAAAGATGGTCCTAAAAAAGAAACCGCTAATCATTGAGGGCACAAAGAACGGACAATCGCTCACCTAATTATTTGGCCCGATTGTGAGCAGAGAGGACTCAGGACACAGGACTCACGGCTCGTGGACGCTTTTTGTGGCCTCTTTTTGTTTGCCGACAAAAAGCGAGCCAATTTTTTTCCTTTCTGGGCCACTTTGTTGCTCTTTTTATGAGTTTTTTCCATTGTCATTTTTTCTGGGACCTCCTCGGGTCCTCAGCCGCTGCCCTACAAACCTCCTAATTACGGCAGTTAGTCGTTGTCCGTGCAAGCGGGGCAGGCGGGACACATGGAAGGACATGCGGACAGCGTGTAATAAACGCTCGCATTTCCACTAAAAATTGGGCCGGTGGAAAAAAAAAACAAAAAAACCTAGGTAGGAGAGCATGGATCGAGGATCCGGACGCGCCTTTTTATTGGTGCACCTTCGGCGGAACCGCAGGACAGCGCAAGGATCGAGGGCAGGACCGCGGGCGACCTCGTCAGAGCTGGCATTAGAAAACTAGATCAGTTTTTTGTGTTGCTTCGCAATGCTCTGCTTTACTTTTACCAAAACGCTTTATGCTTTATGGTTTATGGCCCCGTTTCCCTACCATATTCCCATTTCCCGATCCATTGTCCCAGTGTATATAAGTATATGCAGATTTTTATGGCGATCGCGGCTATCTAGTTCGCGGAACGAGAGCGGGAGTATCCTGCAGCGAGACCAGGACCAGGACCAGGACCAGGGACCTCGTCCTCGACGGACGTCTTTAGGAAAGTAGATCACGTTTTTTGTTCCCATTGTTGGCTTTTTTCGCTGCGCTAGTTTTTTTCCCCGAACCCAGCGAACTGCTCTAATTTTTTAATTCTTCACGGGTTTTTATTTATTGTGCTCCTGGAAAAACGCATCCTCGCAACCTTCCACAAGGTTAGTGCTCTACTTACCTGTAACTCGGACTGCTCTCGTTTTTATGCATTGGCATTCATGTTTTATTTTATTTTTATTTTTATTATGAGCAGGAGAGGTCCTTTTGCCTGTGCATAAATATTCTAGTTTGTTTTTGTGCTGTGACAATTATTGGAAAATTTGGTACTTTCCCTGGAGGAAAATAAACAAATATAGGTTATTTGCCATCATAAAAACGTCTAGTACTCAAGCTGTGTTGAGTAGCCATTAAAGTCCTTAACTGAAGTATAATATTTTCCCCACTTTTTATTGATTTTTACAAAAAGCTACTAATGCTTGGCTGTGCTGAAAAAATATTCTCTTTTTTAAATAGGTTTTAATGGTATTTGTTAGTAAATTAAAATACTTATGTTCCACCATGCTTCTTGTAGATTTTATGGTTATTTGAGTGGGGAGAGAAAGAAAAAGGAGAGGAAAATTGTGGCTTAAGTGGGGAGGCTGGGTGGAAACCACCAATTTATTTGGGGGATGATGCTGTGTAAGAATTTCCCTCAACGATCAAGAGGTCTTTTAGTATACAAAATAAGGAATATTGTAAGGAGACTTCAAGCTGAGACGTACAAGTAAAGTTACTTGTTAAAATTGGTTTTCTTAGACACAAATAAGTATTTAATAACTTGTTTTTACACACTTAAGATTAATAATCAAGGTTCTTATGTTGTGTATTTTTAGGATTTAAAAAAGTAATACTTTTTTCTTAACGCCTTAAGAACTATGCATTTCCTTGAATAATAAGGATATCTTCACAACCTTACAGGAAAAACATACTTCCCATGATAAGTTCAAAATATAGTTATAATAATTAGTAATTAATCATTTATCTATACTAATAAAAACATATTTTCTTTAACATACATTTCATTTATAAATAATAAAAATATATATATACCTGCCAAACATACCCCTTTCCTTACTGGCAACTTGCCCATGAATAAAGCAAGCTTAAAAGATTCCCTCCTTTATATTCACTTAGGCAATCATCATAAAATACTCTCTGCCTTTTTGTTGTAATTGTTTTATTACAGAAATTACTCAATCATCAAGCATAATATCGCATTTGGCCATTTTTATTGCCAACATTTTTGCACTGCCTTCCTTCTTCGAGCCCCTTTTTTGCCCTTCCCTCAACGCGTTTCTCGCATCTTGCGAATTTCTGTTGCGAATCTCTATTGTGGGCTTGGGCAGTGTGTGCTCGCATTTACTTCCCATGATGACGGGCATAATCAGCGAGATCGGCGCTTTGTGAGTGCAGAATGTGCAATAAAGCGGGCAACAAACGATGGCAATGCACTTCCAAGTATTGAAAGTGTTCGCGGATCGGGACTGGGATTGAGTTAGAGCTACCTGCTGACCCGACACTTTCGCCTAACCCAACCAACCGATCGCCATAAAGGGTATTTACTGTCGCTAACCCAAGACAAGCCAGGGGAAGGCAAGGCAAGGCAGGGCAAGGAAAGGCAAGCCTGGTTGGCGAGTCAAAGACAAAGGCTCCTTTGGGTCACACAATAGGCAAGGTTGTTGGTTGTGGCTAGGGTTCGTCCATGAAGGCTTGTCGCCGAGGACCTTCCTCTTCCAGGTCATCTCTGGCCCGTCCTTAGGTAGGACTCAGCGAGTTAATGCCAATGCAAATTGCGGCGCAATATAACCCAATAATTTTAACTAACTCGCAGGAGCGGCAAGAAGGATGCGTTGTTACCCGGTAATGCATAACAATGGTCCTCGGAACGGGGAATTGGAAACTAGGACATGGATCGAAGGTTCCTCCTCACCCTGTCGCTGTGTGTGTTTGTGCCGTGTTAATCCGTTTTCCATCAGCCAGATTATTAGTCAATTTTGGGCCAGTTTTCCAGCATTTCCCTTTTGGCATCGTTTCACTTTCGAGTTAGATTTTATTGCCGCATCTTGAACAATCGAAACGGAGTTTTGGTAACACGCTGTGCTCTACTTTTACTGGCTTTCAATTGAGAACGGAATTAAACGGAATTCCGGGAGTTAAGAGAAGACAGGAGACAGGAGACAGGCTAGAGACCCTGACTAGAGGCCAAAAACCGGGTTGCAAAGTCAGGAGATTCCGTTCGAATGCAAGGACTCTAACCCAGTTTGTTTGTTTGTTTGCTGGGATTAGCCGAGGGCTTGACTTGGTACCCCGATCCCGAAGATCTTTGAGCCGCGATCCCGTTTCCCGATTTTCATTAGAAAGTCATAAAAACACATAATAATGATGTCGAAGGGATTAGCTGGACATGTCCCTATCCCTAGCCCAAAGGCAGGCAGCCTAGCTTTGCTGGGTTTATTTTTTGCGCTGACTTAACCCTTAATCCTCAGCAGCTTAAGCGTAGCAGGTAGAGTTCTGGTATCCCTTTTTTGCGCAAACTTTGTTGTGTTTTTGTTGTGTAGTCCCCCCCTTTGAAAGGACCTTCTGCCAGGGGGTACAGTTGCCTCCAACTGGGCATGATTATATCATCATAATAAATGTTTTGCCCAACGAAACCGTAGCTAAAACTTTTCAAATTAAGTCTCCAGCAACTGGGGCCGTTCCTCCTGGAACCCAGCCATTATCCTGCTACGGTTATGGGCGGGGTCCTGCTCCCACTTCCCCTGCACAGATATATATATATATATATATATAGTATATGGGAAAGTTCAGAGCCCAGAGCTCTGGGGAGTGTGAGGCTGTTAAACGTGCGGCATTATATTAAGACTTCATAAAAGCGCAAATAATTTGCTGGCAAAAGGGCGATCGATAAATATATATATATAAAGAGATATATGTATGTACAAGGGACACATGGAGGGATACCCATACCCATACCCATGGCCAAACTGAGCAACTCCGACAACTGAGCGGCATTATGCCATATCATTCTTGATGAAGCCGATAAAATCCCATTATTAAGGGGGCCCGCCCGTCCCGCTCGCTCTCGGGGTGGCTGCCGCCTGCGGACAGGCGAGACAAAAGATTCACTCATCCGCTATGAATAGCAAATCTCGGAGAGAGCAAGAGCACCTCGCTCGTAATGGCATCCTCAGCATCCGCGCTCAGCACCGCACAGATTAGCACCACTGGCCTGCCATTGGCTGGCGCAGCGATGGCGGCCATTGCGCCGGGCTGCCTGCCTGGAGCGGGCGAGGTATAAAAGGGCGAGGGATGGCTGAGAGCGGCACACTCGAGCTGTGACCGCCGCACAGTCATCACCTCTGCCCTCTGAGAATTAACCATCAATAACATACCTAAACGACAAGATGCACGGATACCGAACCTACAACATGGAGAGCCACCATGCTCACCACGACAGCAGTCCCGTGGACCAGAAGCCCCTGGTCGTCGACCTGATGGCCAGCCAATATGGCAAGCCCCAGACTCCGCCTCCCTCGCCAAATGGTAAGTCATAAGGGAAAACCATCTCCGAATTGACTTGAAACTAACTCTTTACTCTCTACTCTTTTGCCTTTATAGAATGCCTCTCCAGTCCGGACAACTCCCTGAATGGCAGCCGCGGCTCAGAGATTCCCGCTGATCCCTCGGTGCGTCGCTATCGCACTGCCTTCACCCGCGACCAGCTGGCCCGCCTGGAGAAGGAGTTCTACAAGGAGAACTATGTCTCCCGGCCCCGCCGCTGCGAGCTGGCCGCCCAGCTGAACCTGCCCGAGAGCACCATCAAGGTGTGGTTCCAGAACCGACGCATGAAGGACAAGCGCCAGCGCATTGCCGTCGCCTGGCCATATGCCGCCGTCTACTCGGATCCCGCTTTCGCCGCTTCCATCCTGCAAGCGGCTGCCAATAGCGTTGGGATGCCGTATCCACCATATGCTCCAGCCGCCGCCGCCGCCGCTGCAGCCGCCGCTGCTGCCGCCACGAACCCGATGCTGGGCGGAGGCATGCCCCCGATGTCGATGCCCGGAATGGGCGGTATGCCCATGCCGGGACACGCTGGACATGCTCCCTCCCCGTACGGACAGTACCGGTATGCGCCGTATCATATCCCGTCGCGTCCTGCTCCGCCACATCCCGCCGCCGCTGGCCCTCATATGCATCCGCACATGATGGGCACCAGTGTCGCCGCCGCCGCTAGCTCCAGCTACTCGGGTTCAGCTGCCGCCGGCCTGCTGGGAGCCATGCCCACCTCCGTCTCCGTCTCCGCCTCCGCCTGCTATCCCAGTCTGAGTGGTAGTGGTGTGCCCAAGACGCAGACACCGCCGCTGGATCTGCAGTCCTCCTCGTCGCCGCACTCCTCCACGCTCTCCCTGTCGCCGGTGGGCTCTGACCATGCCAAGGTCTTTGACCGGAGTCCGGCTCCCGTTGCTGCTCCGCCAATGACCACCACAAGCCCCCTGCCCGCCCCAGGACTGCTGATGGCCAGCGCCAAGAGGCCCGCCTCCGATATGTCGCCGCCACCGGCGACCACAGTGATTGCGGAGCCCAAGCCCAAGCTGTTCAAGCCCTACAAGACTGAGGCGTAAGCCCTCGAAGAACTCTAAGGATCCCCTCGAAAATGCCCCAAAGATTGTACAAACTAGAGTTAGTCCTTGTCCCTGCCTATTTATTCCCGAAGATTGTACCATAAAACCGTAGATTAGCCCAATGTAAAGCTATTAAGTAGCAATTAAGTTGCCAGATTGAAAAATAAATATGAAAATATCTGAAAATTATGCGACACATCTATTGTTCTACCTGGGGAGTGGGTGAGTGAGTGAGTGAGTGAGGGAGTTGCTCTTACCTGAGTCACCATAAACCTGGCTGTTCGGATTAGGCATGGAGAAACCTAGGAGAGACAGCTGCTCTCCCCTGAGCGGCGACCTTCGGTAGGGAAACTGCGTGTGGAAAATCGGAGCGAGTGCCGAGTGTCCTTCGGAGTGGCCACCCACAATCAGGAATGAGGGAATAGGGATATCTGGGGAGAGATCCACGGGGGTTTGGCACAAGCCAAAAGGGCATAGGGAGTTACAATGCCAATGGCATATTAATGCGAATCGGGCAGATCGATCCTAAGGATGAGTTACACCCGCTGGGACGAAGTCCTGGGCCCACTCCCTGCCACGCGTCAGGTTGCATTGCCTATAAACGGAATCAATTGCCAGTGTCCTCGGATTGGGCTCGGCTAATTAATTGTCACCTCACCCGTGGCGCTCTCTTTTCAATCCTGTTTTCTTTTGCCCTGACCTTATGTTTGTTTTCTCTCTGCTGGCAAAACGATTGTCATAATTGAGAAATCATCAGCAAGGACTCGGAAGCGAGAGAAAGGCAGGCAGGTCCTGCTGGGAATTAAGTCCCGATTTAATTGCCGCGGCAAAACATGTGTTTCAATTGCTCATCCCGGCTCAAAGGGGTGTCAATTGCACATAATCCCGCAGCTAAAAAACCAAAGTCAGCAAAGAGGGGAGTGAGTGCTACAGGATATAGATACCGGCAGCCACCCCTGATCCTGGGTCCTCTATCTAATATCTAATTGAGCGTTTGGGCATCAAAACATGTTTTGACACTTGCCAGGCGAGGCATAAAAAATGGTCCATGAAGTGGTGGCGCACCCCTTTTTTCTCGCACTGTTATCCTTCGGTATCCTTCCATTTTTTGGGGGATGCACACACAAGTGGCAGCATTTTATGATTTGATAATAAAGATACGCGCCACACCAGGGCTTTGGCCCCTGGGGGAATCCCAGGAGTAACCGGAGTAAATTAAAAAATAGCAAAACAGGAAAATCTCTGCAGGATTCAGCGGTGGTTGCTCCTGCCACCTCGGGCAGGTTGACAATTAATCATGTGGGGATTAGGGATTAAGGCGTGTTGAGATACAGAAATCATCAAGTTGTTTATGGCAAAATTATGCCGAAATGGTCATAGAGAGGATTAGGCTGGCACGAGAAGCAGCTGGGAACTGGAACTCCCCTGGCACTCCCACTCTCACTGCCAGAGGCAGCTGCTCCAAAGAGTTAACTGAATAAATGCGATATTATTATCAATTAGGCTCTAGCCTCTAATTCGGGATTGTCTCCTCCGACCGAAGCCGAAGCTGAGCTCACATAGTGCTACACTTCCAACATTTTATGGGGGCAATCAATGTGCGTCTCTCTGGATACATGGCCCAGTGTGTGTGCTGCGTGTGCGTGTGTGCGTGTGTATCTGAGCCATGAATGGCTGCCACTTCATGCGAAGTTCTCCCACGTTTGAATCTCATAAGAAAAACAATGCATTATTCAACAGCCCAAGGCTCGGGCTGCCATATGATGTGCAAACAAAATTAAGTTTTATTGGGGCGTGATGAGTGAGGGATTGGTCTGGGTTGCGACTTCGTCTTCGGTTTCTGTCTCAGCCTCTGATTTCTTTTAATAGTGAATTAGCACCTCTGAACTGGTCTCTACTACATGGTTTATGGCCTCCTCTACTCCTGGCCCAGCTGCTAGCTCTCTGGAGCCGACAAAAGGCAGCTTTTGTGGCCAAAGACAACCGCAATTCGGACTCTCCATCGATTTATGAGCTATGAATTTCACACTAACTGTCAATGAATATAAAGTGATCATCAGAGAGAGAGAGAAACGGCAAGATCTGAAGTTTGCCAAAGATCTCAGACTCTGGGTTTGTTGTTTTTAAAATCCCCTCGAAAAGCCGCGAAGAGAACGAGCTAAAGAGCTACTTCCCAGGGCTATGTTTGGCCTGAACACTTGAAGAAAAGTAGGAGAAATATTAATTTAATCTTGAAGAGGAGTATAAGGAATTTATATCACATGAGTTTGGTATTTAAAAATGATAATTTGATCTTAACTTGAATAGTGTTAATTCTTTAAAACGTTACCTAGATATGTCTACTTGACAATATAACAGAACAAGTAGATGAAAATGAGGGACTTGTTTGTGAAATAAGTTTCAAGTTAAGGTCAACTATATTGTGCTACAATAGCATATCAAATACAAAGGATATACCATACACACCTCCTGAGGATCTCTTGAACCTAGCTTTTCCTCCCGTTTTTTCCCCAGCATAATTGCACTCTCAGGCCCAGAGACTTTTAAGCTGCTAAACGAAGTTGAAAACGTTTTATGATTCTGCCAAATAGACGAGCGGGGGTTTTGCAATCAGCCAGCAATGAATAAACATCTTTGTAAAATGATGATGCCAGCACTGAAATAATTTCACACGTTTCACGCACACACAGCATCCCAGAAAGAGAGAGATGAAGATGAAACTCGTTTGCTGCCAGCAGATATATATACTATATATACGATATATATGCATGCGTCATGTGTCCACCGATTTATTTGTCGTGTCTCCATGTCTCCATGGATGTTTGCCAATTTGCACGCTGTCCATTAACGGACCATGCGCCATTTATCGGATCGCCGCCAATTCATTCTGGCAGCCTCATCATTTTCATGGATATTAACGGCCAGATAATCGCGACAATCGAAAAATTTCTGGGGGAGTGGGACGTCGGTCTCTATTTAGCCAACATTTCCATATGATACAAATTACCATGATGGGGGGTTGAATCGCATTGCAATTGGTCAGGGTTCACAATAAATGGCATTGCTGAATGGTGGAAACAACGATAAAGTAGCCGGAAAATGCCCAAATCAATTCGGACGGAACCCCTGATGGATCTACCAAGAGAATGCAAGTCTCGGGTCATTTCTACAGTTGCCACAGGAGTTGGAACCAGGAGGGGGAGTTGACCATAAATCTGGAGGCCAGATAATGAAACTAGAATGATTGCGGCAATCACTGGTGTGGCGAGCGGACGTGGACCAGTGGCACCTCCTCTGCGCATGTCCTGGATACACACGCTGGCCTGTGCTCTCTCACATAGTGATAGATACAGGGAACCAGGCAGATACATAGAACGATGCTGCTGCTGATGCTGCTGTACATTATGTGGCCAAGGATTACAGATTCCGGTCTCCGGATCCTGCGCACGACGTGTCAACTTTATTGCGGTTTGACTTTGCCTTTGCCCCTCGAGGAACCTGGAACCTGGAACCTGGAATTGGGAACTGGGAACCCTCCTGACCCACGGCGACCCGCATCCATTCTCCGCTCATGATTTACAATTCTCATGGCATTTTTTTCGCGTTATTTTTTTAGGGGCTTTAATGGCCATCGTAAAGCCGCAGGACCCGGAATACGGAACACCATTAGCTGCTCTCGCTCGGAGTTCTGCTCACATTTCGCGCACTGATTCTAAAAAATGAAATCATTTTTTCTCGAATTTCATGTCGCGTCTCGAGCAGGGCTCTTTGTCCTGCCCCTCGACCCTTGTCCTTTTTTTCTTCCATTATTTTTTTTGCACGCTAGCTAGCCTCATGGTGTTGTGTGTGTGTGTTTTTTTAGCGCTTCGCCTTACCTAGACAGGATTTGCCGCTGGGTTTTTGGCTTTTATGGCTGAGGCGATGATATTATGTTGGCTTTGTGCGCGGCCTACGGTTCCGTTTTTTAGGCCATAAAAATTAGGCGGCATAAAAAAACTGCATTGGAATTCTAGTTCTAGTTTCAGATTTTTAGGTTTCCAGATTTTCGGCCAAAGCAAACAAAAATTCGCAATTCGCGGAATTCGGAAGCGGAACAGAATGGGCCTGACCTTGCCTTCTTGCGAGGGCCGTAAAAAAATTGACTCGCTGCGGTGCGCGATATATTTTTTAGAACTAAATTGCCTAGATCTTTGACTTTCCCTAGATCCCTCTATATCCCTATATACCTAGATCTTTAGATCTGGTATCGTAAAAAAAGCAGAACAAATAAGCGGGCATTTTCCGCTACAAATAATCGGTTTATGAGCCCGGCCTAAAAAACTAAGTCACAAAGTCACAAGGTTAACCTGGAAATTGGCTTGGTTAAGGATGTGTCGCAGATACGAGGAAACCTGCAGGATCCCAGGATGGAGATACAGAGAGAGATTCGAGATCAAAGCTCCTTGCGCCGGGAGAATTCCTCCGAAGATTCACACGATTAGCTGGAGATGCGTCGGCATATCCTTCTTTATCCTTCTTTGAACCCACCGCCGCACAAGTGACATGCAAATTAAGCGAATTAATTGCCGCAGTGGTCATGCCAATTAAGGATCACAGCACCCAAGGTCATAGCTCCTTCCTCCCCGTGGAACCACCAACGGCAACCACACAACAACCGAATCCAAGTGACCTTCGACCTGCTCGGTGTCCCGTGTGTGTGTGTGTGATTTTTGTTCATCTTTTTCACAGGCCATTTGCTGTTTGCTTCTGCTGTCCTTCTTGCCTTCTTTCGGCATGTCCTTTTTTTCTTTTTTGCATGCTAAAAATCAAGAGATTGCTGATCTGTTCGATCTTAGCCGGAATTCGAGCGGGATTAGTCGTTTATGACCCTCAATCCTCCATAAAACACTAAGCGCTTTTCGCCTAATGCATCCAAGCATCTGTATCTGTAGCTGTGGATGTATCTGTATCTGTAAATGTAAATGTATCAGTATCTTTATCAAATTCTGTGACTTTTTAAAGGAGTTCTCTGAGGAAAATGGCTGTCTCCC